GAGCTCAGTCAGTCTCGCTCACTCTCTAAAAGGATCCGGAAAATCTAGCTTCTGAATTTCACCTGGTGCTTCTATTTTAAAAAATCTATCAAGTCTATCAGCCATGACTCTGTCACTCACTCAGGGTCACACTGCCTGCAGCCATTCTTGAGTTTATAACTAAGACTTCCAATAGGGTTCAAAAAGAACCAGTCAGGTTGCTGATATCCATGCCATAGAAGTGTAACTAACTGCTCAGATCATGTTATAATAGCTGCTCTTTATTAAACCCTACTTACATGAGGATATTTATACTCACCCCCCCCAAAAAAAAAATCTGCTAAGTATGTAGAATTCTTCCATGTTCTCATCTTTTATAGATAAGAAAACTAAGGCTTTAAAACCCCTCTCTGTTTATTAAGTGTTAAAGCTGAAAGGTGACTCTGGTTTGCTGGCTACAGAGTCCAAGCTCTTTCCATGAGACATAGTCTATTGACTTACTTTATTTTTTTTTTTTAGTGTTTTTTTTTTTTTTATAGAGGCATGGTTTTATTTATTTATTTAATTTGTTTGTTTGTTTTGTTTATACATGCACTGGGTACAGTCAGAAGCGCAGGAGGGTGAGAGAATTCACCAGAGCCAGAGTGGGGAGCAGAGTAGGCAGAAGGACCGAAGTACACTGCTGAGGGGAGCAGCGGGCGGCAGGAGAGGTCTGCGCGCCATGTGGGACCCTCCTCCTGTGGCCGGGGAGCAGCCGGGGATCGAACTGGTGCTGCAGAGGCCGCAGGCAGCTTCGCAACCCAGCGCTCAACCGCTGCGCCACCGGGGAGGCCCTGTTGACTTACTTTAAAATCAATCATATTCTTCTTACTTGTATAACAAAAGGTCATCAGCTAAGGTATTCTAAAACACGAATAATCTAATATAGTGAAAAATCAAATTTTGGGTATTTTTTAAATGATTGCTTTTGTTTCTAAGTTAATGTCTCCTCTTGGATCTATTTAAATGAATACTGTGCAGGGAAACTATTTAAATGATACAGCAACCAATCAAACTATAGATTAAATCCCTTTAAAAAAAGGTTCACATTTCTTCCCTTCCGTTTCCCCACTACCCAATGCCTGGTCTAAAGTAGGCACTTCACAAAAACATTTGAATATCACACCTCCCTCAATCTTGTTTACCAAAACGCTGTACTAATGAGGATCCATTCTAATGTGACTCTAATAACTGAAACTTGATGATCAAAATTAAACATAATAAGAGTCACTAGAATATCCTTCCTGGACACTCTCCTCCAGGTGAAGTGCCACTATCACCATCAGCAAGTAGTTATTAAACATCTACAAATTTTTGTTTAACATAGTAATAACTCAGTACACCTTCTTCTCCCGCTCTCTCCCCATCAGGTTTGGCAAGCAACAGAGTTATAGTTCCCCTCCAGGCAAGCCAGCCTGTGTGTGGGCAGTGGGAGACCATTCAGAGACACAAATGTTTCATATGATTAAGCACATTTTCCAAGTTAAACAAATAGAAAGTCCTAGGCCCTAGGAGTTTGACCTTTCCTCAACTAGACCAAATACAGAGGCTTCAGGAGTCTGACCCTCCCACACTAGACCCTTGTCCTAGCACTTTTCCCTGGTGCCTTGAAATTGCAGCCCTCAATAATCTTCTCCTCTGTCAACCACTAAACAGAGGAAATCAGAAACTTCTCCCAATGCGTCACAGTTATTAAATACCTATTCCTATTATTACGAGATATTTTGTTCACTAAATTCAATGAATATGTCAGCACATTCAACTAAAATTTTTCTTTAAAAACCCTGTCTTGAGGACCTCCCTGGTGGTGCGAAAGGGATTAAGTCTCAGCACTATGAAGCTATCAGCTGCCACTGCAGCACATCCTGGGCCAGAGCGATGACCCACATGGCGCAGCAGACCTCTCCTGTCTCACCCACTGCTCCCCTCAGTGTATTTCAGTAGATCCGCCTGTTCTGCTCCCCACTCTATCTCTGGTGAATCCTCTTAGCTCCCACACCTCTAGCCTGCACACCAGCTCTTGTATGCATAAATAAATTTAAAAAAAAAAAACAAACAGGGCCTCCCCAGTGGCACTGCGGGTTGAGCGCAGCATTGTGAAGCTGTCCACAGCCTCTGAAGCATGAGTTCAATTCCTGGACAGCCAGGGAGCTACCCACATGGCACAGCAGTGCTCTCCTGTCTCGCTCACTGCTCCCCTCAGCAGTGCCTTTTGGTCCGTCTGCCTGTTCTGCTCCCTGCTCTTCTCTGGTGAATCCTCTCACCCTCCTGCTCCTCTGACTTGTACCCAGTTCTTGTACAAAAATAAATCTTTTTTAAAAATAAATAAATAAAAACAAGGGCCTCCCTGGTGGCACAGGGGTTAAAGACACAGCACTACGAAGCTATTGCCAGCCATTGCAGCACAACTTTGATCCCTGGCCGGCCAGAGAGGTAACACACCTGGCGCAGCAGACCTCTCCTGTCTCGTGCACCGCTCCCCTCTGCAATGTATTTCAGTAAATCTACCTGTTCTGCTCCACACTCTGTCTCTGGTGAATCCTCTCACCCCCACACCTCTGGCCGACACCCCACTTCTTATATGCATAAATAAATAAAAAACCCTGTCTTCACAGAGAGTGCAGAGTTTACGTGTATACTACAAGGAAAAGTATACATGAGATAGGAAACTAGATTCTATTCCAGTACCTTAACTTCCACGAAAAGCTCCGCAAGTCAATTATCCTGCTAAACTTTGTTTCTTCAGCACTAAAATGAAGGATTAAACTAGTCTGGGGTTACTCACCTTGTTCCAGGATGCCTTGCAAGCTTCAGAATCTGCTCTAGGGCTTTACAACCTCTGTTAGTGAACTTACATAAAAATACCCATTTACAGGCCTTCCTGCTGGCAACAAGGGGTTGAGATGCAACCTATGAAAAAAGCTAGCGCAAGCCGATGCAAGCACGAGTTCGATCCCCTGCCAGGGAGATACCCATATGACGCAGCAGACCTCTCCGGACTCACCCGCTGCTCCCCTCAGCTGTGTATTTCAGTCAATCCACCTGTTCTGTTCCCCACTCTGTCTCTGGTGAATCCTCTCGCCGCCCCCCATACCTCTGGCCTGTACCCAGTTCTTGTATGCATAAATAAATAAATCTTTTTTTAAAAATACCCATTTACATATGTGGATTTTTCTGGAGAAATTTGTGACTTACAGCAAACTGACACAAGTTGCAACCCCCAAAATAACCATAGTTCATGTTTTATTGGATACCATGTGCTAGACACTGTGCTAAGTTCTTACATATATTAATTCACTTAACCCTCAGAAAATCCTTTAAATTAGATTCTATTATTGCCCCTATTTTATAGTTGAAGAAAGTCAATCAGAAAGAGCCCAGGCTCTTAAACACAATGCTGTTTGGTAAGGTCATCTCTAAACCCTAAAATTCTATGTTTCTATGCTCATTCAAATAAATGGTTTCCCTCTGGTTAAGTTCTCTTTCATTTCACAATCATTAATTCCAAATTAAAATATTTACACAGAACAACCAAACTCATGCAACACCCAGATGAATGCTACTGGAAAGAATATATCAGACAGTCAATCCAAATAAGGGTCCAAAGGCTCTTTCCAGATCCAGCCTCCAATCTGTTTTGCTTTTATAACTGGAGATTAACCAACAGATGCATCTGAATCTAATTACTAATTAAACCCTAAAATAAAACAATAAAATAATCAGATTGTTGGCCAGAAAAGGGGATGCAGTTGCAGCAATAAAATCTCACAGAGCACACACCAATATGAGAGGACCAGGTAAGATACATTCGTGCAAGGCTTCATGTCCCATGTTGACTGGCTTTCTACCCCCAACCCACATGACCCAAAACAATAATCACTGTGGGGCCAAGCCCTGAATCACTCTCCATGTGAGAGACAAAGGCTGGCAGAGGTAACAGTTTGAAACAAGAAGTGAATACTAAGTGAAAGGCTAACCTGCCGTTTTTGTGGACACCTGTTCTGACAAGCTACAGTCTTAACAGAGGGGCTAGCCATCATCCAGTTACACCTGAAAACTGATTTGCCAGTCACAGCCCTGCTCAAATTACTGAATGACACAACATGCTTAATAAATGGCTGCAGAGGAGCGGACATAGTTCTTTTCACAGGCTGTCCAAAACACAACTAAAGGGAAGGTTGTTGAAACTTCATGTCCAACTCTCCTGACCTTGCTCCACCCGGTCTGCGTAAAGAGAAGAGGAGCAAAGGACGACAGACAGGCGATCAGAGGAACGGCCCTGGGTGCAGAAAGATCTTTTTCAAGGGTGCTGCAACAGGGTCAGAGAGGCCAAGAAGAGGTGTTGGGAGGTTGTGGGCAGGAGAAAACCAACGTGGGAGCCGGACATTTGAGCCGAAGAACTGAGAGACAGGGTTACTGGGAAGGGGCAAATGTAAGAAATCTGGTCGGAAGCATAACGAGGAAGAGGTGGAGGAGTTGGTGGGGCGGGTAGAGACAGAGAGAGGGCCCTGCGGGAAGAGCAGCGGGTCCTAAGGGGAGAGGAAACAGCTGGGGTGGGCAGAAAAGGCTGGGGTCCGCGGGTGCCTCCGGGAGAGGGTCAGAGGAACCGGGGGACATGCAAGGGTGAACGGAGTGACCCGCTGGTTAGCGTGGAAACTCAGAGTGGGGGCAACAGGGCAGGTGATCCTTGAGGGTCGGGAAGGGAAAGCGCGGAGCACCGAGGGTGGGAGGCGAGCAGGGCGCCCGCGCGCAGGGCAGCAGCGCCCTGTGCCGAGGCCCGGGCGAGGGCGAACCCAGCGGTGACAACGGTCGGTTCGGCGGCAGCGGGGTGGAGGCTGCCCAGCTCAACACCGGCGGGGCCGCCCCGGAGTCCGGGGCCGGGCTGAGGCGCGGGAGGCCGGCCCGGAGCCCCGGGGCGGGAGGAGGGTCGCAGGGGTCGGGGAGGGCCCGGGACCGCTGGAGGCCGGCGGCGGCGCTCTCACCGGGACAGGTGCTTCAGGATCTGCTTCTTAATGATCCCGGCCATGCCGCGGCGGCGGCCCGCGTGCAGGGCCGACGGGCAGCTGCGACCTCCTCAGTCGTGGAGAAGAGGCGGCTCCTCACCTCGCCGCCGCGCGGGGACCGGATGCCGGCGCCACAGCGCGCCGCCATGGCGCTCTCTCGCCCCTGCCCGGCGCCCGGAGCTCCGCCACGATCCCACCCACCCGCGCGGCGCCGCGGCCGCCAGCCAGAGCGACGCGGAGATCGCGCGCCGGCCGCCCGCCCGCCAGACTCGCGGCGGCCCGAGGGGGCGCGCGCGGCGGCGGGGCCGCGCGGGGGGGCGGGGCCGCGCGGGCGAGGGGCGGGGCCGGCGCGCGGCGGGGGGCGGGCCGGCGCGCGGCGTGGGGCGGGCGAGCGCGCGCAGAGTCCTCGGTGCCCGGTGCAGCGCGCGTGGAAGGGCCGCCTCGGAAGGTCTCGCAGCGGCGTGAGGCTCACACGCCGGCGGTCGCCCTGAAGGTTACGAGAACGGCCGCGTGTTTGCAGGTCTTCTGAAGGAACGCGCTAGATAATGGTGCCGCTCCTGGTGCACTTCACTCTCCCCTCAGGTTCACCTTTGAGCACCGACTCGCCTCCTGGAATCAGTCGGGAAGTGCATTTGAAAAGTAGTCTTAGGAAGAAAGTAAAAATCAAAATCAACAAACAACTATGAACCAGAGACAATCTATGGGAGGTGGGGTGTGGAGAGGAGAGGATTGGGTCAAAATAAGGGGGTTGCAATTGTATGGGGAATATAAAAATTTTTAAAAAATTATATAAAAAATAAAAATGTAATAAAAAAATAAAGTATGTATGGTGAAATAGAAAGTCAAAGAGACTTCAAATTTATACTTCTGTAGCCTTGGGAAATTCATTTAACCTTCCAAATCCTGTTTTTCATTATAAAATTACCAATATTTCTAAGTATTATAATTTCCAATTTTTTATTCAATTAGTATATCAATATTTTCATTAATGAAAACATACTATCTTGCTCAGTTGCAAAGATTAAGGATATGACATACTAGATATTTTGCAAAGATTACAGAATATATATATTCACAAACTGTGTGTGTGTGTGTGTGTGTGTGTGTGTACGCACATATAAAAAAAAAAAGAAAGGTAGTCTTAAGGACCTCACAGACCACACCAAGGTGGCAGGCCACTTTGTGCAGTAGCGCTTAGAGGAAGGCGCCTCGTCATCCTTTTTTTTTTTTACTTTATTTTTTATATTAACATTATCATTTTTAAATTTTTTTAAACAATATTTTCTTCCTCCCACCCCCTCAGATTGAGTCCCCATAGAATCTCTTCCCCAAGGCACCCGTGCACCATCACCACAGTCCCCTGTGCTCCTCCCTCCCTCCCTTTCACCCCCCTCCCTCCTCCTTCTGCAATATGTTTCTGGTTTATAGTTGTCTGTTTTTGCTTTGTTTGTTTTGTACTGTTATTTTTTTTTAACACTGATGTCTTATTTGGTTCCCCTATATTCCTGTTATAAGTGAAACCATCCGATATTTTTTCTTTTTCCTTCTGGCTTATTTCACTATCATAATTCCTTCTAGCTCCATCCACGTTGCTGTGAATGGCATAAGTTTATCTTTTTTGATTGCTGAAAAATATCATCCTCTTAATGCTCCTCTTCGCCTCTGGTGGGTTAACCCTAGGCAAGGGCACTTACTCAACACCTAAGAGGAGCACTGCAGAAGCACCCCTTTTCCCAGTGTGGTGGGCAGAAGAAAAAGAGACAGTAATTTTTAAAATTACCAAGGACCAGCTTAGTCTAACAAATAAGGAAATTGAAACCCAGGAAATCGTGGAAAGAGTTTACCCAAGGTCACAACTGCTTAGGGTCCCTCAGGACTAGAATCCAAGTGTTAACTATTAATGTTATTTACACTCTATTTTGTCCATACATTTAAAAGCATAACCATAGGCCAGGGACATCCACAGATCCAATGGCAAAGGTGGGAAGGTGGCAATTCTATGAGCGTGACCCTTCAATCAAAAACCTGAGCAAAATTTTCTCTGAGTCTTATAAGAAAAGTTGGCTGCCAGTTAATTTTAAATGTATTCATTCTTGTGAATATAATACATGCACATACTACAAAACTAAAGATAAGTCTCCCTTCTTGCCTGCACTCCTATCTCCCAGCCATTCATTTTACCTTCCCCAAAAAACTGTTTCCTGATTCCAGAGATAGTCTAAGCATGCTCAACCATATATATAATATATATATATATATATATATATATATATATGTTAATGTTTTTAAAATAATCTAGACTCCATTCCTATGCCTTTCTCCTAGAGATAGTTAAATTCCATTTTTCCCAGATTTGGATTTTGGATTTTCCCTCCAAATTACTTTAAAAGGGAAAAAAAAATCATCCTCAGTCTAGGTAGTGCTACTGCCCAAATCCCTTCATCAGGACTGCATAATCTATCATTATTTGTTCCTCTGCCCATCTCTCACCAGAATATACACATACTAGGGAGCAACAGATTTGGGGGAGGTTAGGTTTCTTATCAAGATTATTCACCATAATCACTCCCTCCCAGTTCTACTGTCAGCTGCACAGCAGGAGCCCCAAGGCAATTTCTTGTACTTTGTGCTTTTCCTGGAACACCTAACTGCTGATTGAATATCTTACATCAGCAATGGAAAACAAAACCTGGCTCATGCTCAGAGACTCAGCATCCTCACTGAGCAATTGATAATGCCTGGTAGATGAGGGTTTTTTGTTGTTAAAAACAAAAATCCATGCTTTAAAAAAAGACATGGCCGGGCCTCCCTGGTGGCGCAAGAGGTTAAGACACAACCTATGATGCTATCTGCAGCCACTGCAGCATGAGTTCCATCCCCAGCCAGGGAGGTGACCTACATGGTGCAGCAGACCTCTCCTGTCTCTCCCGCTGCTCCCCTCAGCAGTGTATTTCAGTCAGTCTGCCTGTTCTGCTCCCCACTCTGTCTCTGGTGAATCCTCTCACCCCACACCTCTGGACTGTACCCCAGTTCTTGCATGCATAAATAAATCTTTAAAAAAAAATGGCCTCTAGGGATCATGGAATAGAAGACTTCAAAGTCTCCCCAATGTTATCAATGTGTTCATCTTTCCCTGCAGTGCTGAGAATGATATAAACACAGGGATTTTGGCACAATTCTTATTTTTTAAAAGTTAATTTAAGTTGGTGATGGAGGATAAGGATAGAAAAACTGGAAAGGAGGGCCACAAGATCAGAAACCTGGCTCACACAATGCCAAGAACTGGATATGGGGTAGAGGTGATTAACAAAGCCCTTAAACCAGCTGTAGGAACTAAAAATCCTTTGGCACCAAGGCACATTTGCGCTTATGGTAGCCAGTGCCATAGGGAAGCCCAATTTCCCCATGGGGCTGACTAACCACGGATGGCTCTGTCCTAAATCTTTGTGGTCGCCAAATCTGTTATAGGACAGGGAGAGGGGCAGCCCAAACCCCGCAAACCTGCCTATTCTACATGGGTTCTGCCATCCGCCGCATCAACACAAAACATAGGAGACTTTAATGGGAAGGAACTTTAATAACTAGGAAACAATACAGGTAGGCAAAGAGTCTAGTTTCTAAATGAAGCACCCAAAGTTACCCGTCCCCTCGTGGGTAAAAGTCCATCCAAATGGGATCGGCCCAGAACAAGGCCCCAAAGCCTGCTACAAGTCTAAAGCATCTTCCAGTGGGGACCCACAAAAAAGGGTCACAAACAACTGGACAAGCCCGGAAGGAAAAGAGCAAAATCAACATCAGGATAAAAGCTGCCATTGTCACCTCCCCACGGGTCTCACCCACATCTGTGTCACCTAGTCCACGACCAAAAGACAAGCGCAGTTTCTTCACGTGTCTCTAGGCTCCATGCGCCTCCTCCAGGTCTCCTTGCTCCATCCTGCTTCCCTCCTCAGTCTCTTCTCCAGCTTCTCCTCTTCCTGCTCAGCTCCACCCTCCCTTGGGTGGGGCAGGGAACCTCCCCCTTTCCTGGGGACCACCCTGTTGCAGTATCAGACTGCTGTTAGTGTCCTAGGACTCAGACCTAGAGTAAAGATGTGGAGATTGAGGGCCATTATAGTATCTTTAGTCCCTTTCAAATTCTATAGTTACCCAAAATCAACATCAAACAAACCACTCCATGAAGGAGTGAGCCCCTTCCAAAGAGAAGGAAACTATATCAGGACAATCTGCACTGCTCCCAGGCAGCAGCAGTCCTGCCCACCTGTGACTATGCAGGTTCTTCTATTCACCAACTCTCTCCCTCTGCAGGGCAGCAGCCTCCCGCCTGCCCATGACCTATACCTTGCCGGGACTTCTCCTCACTGACCTCCCCCAGCAGAGGCAGCTCTCCTCAAGGCCCCTAGCCTGCAAACGTACAGGCCTCTCTCTTAGTGAATCTGTCCCTTTCGGGGCCACACTTTCTGCCCACTTGTGTCTATGCAAGTGTCCTTTATTCTTCTCTCCCTTTTATCATAAACCTGCCCTTTTAGATATAACTAATGTCTCTGTGTCGTGGAGAAACTCGCCTGGGAAACTTGTCGCATGCTGCTGAAAGGGGAGCTCTGGTAAAACCTTTACCAGGGTGAACCCAAGGACCCCACTCGCCAAACCCAGCAACTCCAAAAACGACATCATCAGGATGATTGTAAGTTAATATTCAATTAAAAGAATAAAAAGAGGCCCTCTCTGGTGGTGCAGTGGCATAGCAGATTGAGCGCAGCGCTGTGAAGCTGTCTGCAGCCTCTACAGCATGAGATCGATTCCCAGTTGGCCAGGGAGATACCCACATGCCGCCCACTGCTCCCCTCAGCAGTGTACTTCGGTCCTTCTGCCTGCTCTGCTCCCTGCTCTGGCTCTGGTGAATTCTCTCACCCTCCCGCGCTTCTGACTATACCCAGTGCTTGTATAAAATAGATAAATCTTAAAAAAAAAAAAAAGAATAAAAAGAGAGCCCTGTATTCTTTACCCAGTGCCCCCCAATGGTAACATCAAACAGAACTTTTTAGTATAATGTCACCAGATAAAGGCATTGATATACTCAGTATACAGACCATTTCTTCCTTTCTGATGATTATCTTT